TGGAGAAGCCACGTGGAGATCCCTGCCAGTGCTGAGATGCTTACAACACCACTGGATCCACAAGACTTCCCACCCACTGGCCTGTGATATCCGTGCATTTGGCACCATTGCATGTATTTCCTGTGTCTGAAGAGGACTTTATAGATTGGTATTGGACGTATATGCTAGCATCAGACTTATGGGCTTGATCTGGACTGGGCTGGGATGTTTTCTCAATATTCAACTGCTCTTTTATATAAAGCTCTTACTTACACGCTATGCATTTGTTTCTCTAGTCTACCCAGACTAACACAGGCCTCTACTAAAATCTCACCTAAGTGAAAGAATTGTTCTAACAATGTGGCACTGTATGACAGTCACCTTCCTGACATGATCACTGAAGACAAAATGGGTGCATAGCAAATGTGGTGAAGAAAGCTGATGGTGCCTGGCTCTTAAAAAATATAGTGTCTGGGGTCTTAAAAGGCTTAGAGTCAAAGGAGTGGCCATCAAGCAGGGAAGCAACAAAGCCCACATGGAAGAAGTGCATCAGCCTGTGTAATCATGGAATGTTGATGAGAAGAGGCATCAGAAGTTCAAAAGCCAGCAATCAAATTGATGTGAAGGAGCGTGGACAGAGTGGAGACTCAAAGCCCACCTGCAAGTGGGCTCTCACAGAGGGCCCATGTGGTGGTGGTGTGTGTGTGTGAGGAATTCAGGGTGTGGTATAGCACTGGTGAAACACATAACTATCCTCTAGTTTTTTAATACTCCCTCCCCTTACTATTAAGGCTTATGTTTCACCTCATTAATACTTGTAGACCTACAGATGTTCACGTGTATAATTACGATCATTAGATGCAGGAATGCCAGGATAGATGGCCCCTGAGGAACAGCAACAGGAGTAATGATTCCCTGAGAATACGGGAAGACGGGGGTGGGGGTGGAGGGACACGATGGGGGCGCTGTTATCAATGACAACTGTATAACCCCACTCGAGGGAAGCAAATGACAGAATTATAGGTGAGTAGATGAGGTAAGATACAGATATATAGATATAGATATATATATATAACTACAGCAAGGGTTCCTGGGGGGAAGGGTTGGGGAAGGAGGGGATAAAGGAGAGGGAGCTGATACTCAAGAGTTCAAGAAGAAAGTTGAATGGAAACTGATTGTAGTAGCAACTGTATCATTGATGGCTGATCCAGTTGAATTATGGAATGTGATGACAGCTGCAAGAGCCCCCAATAAAAGGATGAACAACAACAAAGGCCATGTTATTGTCAGGTGGCAAGTGAGAGGGTGCCTTGGGAAGGGACCCCAGAAAGGGACTGTGACAGTCCAGCTAGTAAAATGTGAGTGTTTTCTCTTTGAGGTCCACATGTTGTGTGTGTGTGTGTGTTGTAGATGTGGGATCAAGGAGGGTAGGGGATGGATGAAGAGGTCATGGGACATCCCATGCTTACACCTCCTAAGATTCTTCAGGTTTACCTTTTCCTTTTAAAAGTTATTCAAAGCTACCTGTGTTAGTCCAGGTTGACTAGAGAAATAAATCCAGAGACGCTCATATACGGATAGGAAAGAGCTGTAGATCAAAGAACAATGGAATGTTGAGAAAACATCCCAGCCCAGTCCAGATGAAGTCCATAAGTCCAATATAAGCCCATATGTCCCATACTAGTCCATACATTCCTCTTCAGACTCATGCAGCACGTGCAATTATGCCGAATGGAGGAAGATCACAGGACAGTGGATGGAAAGTCCTATGGATTCAGTGGCAGTGGAAGCATCTCCATGGCTCTGGCTGCCATCAGCGTGGCTCCACATGGCTGCACAACAGGAATGTGCAGCAGAGAGAGAGTGTGTGTCCAGGGAGGGAGAGAGGCCTGGGAAAGCCACACCCACAAGGAGGCATCATCAGGCTGTGACCTGGTTGACAGGCTAGACTCCACTCCTTCACTCTTATTTATGGAGTTGACATGAAATTGTGTAACTACCACACTACCTGAAAGGTTAAACCCAAACCAGCTGTTTGGGGTCGACCCTGACCCATGGTGACGCCTTCCTGTGTGTCTGCGTGGAGCCGTGTGCCAAGGGTTTTCAGGGCTGATTTTTCACCAGGACTTCACCAGTCTTTCATCCGAGGCATGGTGGGGGTGGACTTGAACCTCCAACATGCTGGTTAGCAGCTGAGCCCATTGCCCAAAGGTTCCGATCCCTCCAAACGGGGAATGGAATTGGAGCTTTAGCGCCTGAACCATAAGATGCTGAATTGACCAAGTCACAGAGGCATGACCATGTCCTCGTGACTCTGTGAGTTCGATGGTTCGAGATCCAGCCAAAGTCACTGTGGGTCAGGACACCCGCCCTCCCTCCATCCTGATGTCTTTCCTTATTGTCCTATTGTCTCAGTGAGCTTCATGGCGATGGGGTCTGATGATTGCGGGGTGATCAAAAGGGTTCATGGCTTCAGTTCCCTCTTCTAGAAAAAGGGGAAATAGGTCCTTCTCTGAATCCAGGGCTGCCCGAAGACAAAATGAACTCCGGTGTGAGCGATCACTATTTTTTTATTTGATGACAAATGGTGAGTAGGGGAAAGGTGAATCCCAGCTTTGACTCTTGTCTAATCCATGTTGGGATGCAGCCTTGGGCAGTACCTCGTGTGCCCTAGGCTTGCTTTTCTTCCTCTGTGAATAAGCGTTCTGGATCTGTTGACTCCAGGGCTCTGTCAGCTCCAGCCTTCCACATGCTTGAAGTCCCAGTCCCTCCATGGCTTAATAGCTCCTTTGGGGTCTAATCAGACTGGATGCTGGGTTCTTCCGCAAAGATGCAGCCCTGGGATTCTGGTTCAGCATCCAACTGGAGGCCAAGGTTCCCCCATCTGGTGAGCTCACGGGTCGTCAGAGCATCGTGCCAAATCAGATCTGGCCTGGCTTTTTTCAGGGTGCTGGGCACAAAGTCTTGACTTTTTGGAAGGGGACCCCAGGCAGGAGGACTCCCCCTCTGAACTGACTCATGTGTATGAAAGTCATTCATTATTGTTGAATCTTCAGGGGTGGGGCTTCTTGTCATGGCAGAATGCTCTCCAGGTTTGGTTTATTGAAAAACAAACAAACACAAACACAAAGACGTCACTTTGAGGTCTAACGTGGGCTTGACCCAAACCACGGTATTCTCGATCTCGTCATATGCATGTGAAAGATGGACAGACCGAGGAAAGTGGATGCCTTTCAATGAAGGTGTCGGCTAAGAATATTGACTAGACGCGCGATGGGCACACAAACGTATCTTGGAGGAAGCGCATCCAGAAGGCACCCTCTCAGGCCCAGATGGGCAAG